TAGCCATAGAGAGAGCCATTAAAATGCAGGACAAAAGCTACAGGGTAACAGCCATTTGCACCTGCTACTAATATTTGACTTTTTTTTTTTAGCTTCCCCACTAGCTTGTTTTTCCAGTGGAGTAAAGGAAAAAGTCCTGTGTAAGCTCCATGCAAGGACTCTATCCCCAGATTGGGTGGTTGGCTGTTCAGGAACCCCAGTACTGCATGGTTTCCATTCCCCTAACAACCCCTAAACTAAGGCCTGAACACTTAACGTCTCCCATCAATCCCTATCCTGCTATATTCTCATCTGTGTGCTGGAACCATTCAGACATCAGTGTAGAATAACTACTTGATCTATGGGGTCTTAAGCAAAACCCCTAACATCCCCAAAGGGTAGCACATAATGTTCAGTGCTTGCAAGGCAACAGACAATGGTCAAAGACTGGATATACTTTAGGGCATGGTCAGAAACAGCAGATATGCTACAGGTGATGCTACAGTTCTAAGAATAAAGACATACTACAAATGTGTATGGAGACATGGGAAATACTTAGAGACTGTCGTGAAGAAACTGTAATGGCAGTGATCTTTATCAGTCTCTTGTAACATTTCCTCTATTTCTAATTCAGTGCCCACTAAAGCCCCCTAAAAATACTAACATCACATTTGGCATTCCCTCAACATGATTCATTTTAAAAAGGTACACTGTAAATATACACAAAAATAGAAGCAAGAATGGTCTGCACAGAAAAAGCAAGAAAGTGTGAAAGAATGAAACCAAATCATTTAGCTAGTAGAAGCCAACATAATTATTTTCCTTTGCTGACCCTGAGTAAGCAGCTGAAAAAATAAAACAGTGGCTACTGGTGATTGGAGCCTTTCAGAGTGTAGTGCAGCTGTTCATGGCAACCAATCACCTTCTAGCTTTCATTTTCAAAGCTTAACCGAACAAGTGTAAATTAGAAGCTGATTGGTTACTATGTACAGAATAAAGCAAGGTGCAGCGCTAAAATGATCAACTGTTCTAGATTCTGTCTGCCCTCAAGTTTTAGTAAATTTACCCCAAAGGGCTAAAGGTTGGACACCAGGGTACTTTGTCAAAATCATGCAGTGCCAAGACCCCAGCATCAGAAGAAACTTTCACCATCTTGATGTTTGGATGTGCTTAATCTATAGTTACTATTTCAAGTTTACGTCGTGCTCCAAAAGCAACTTGGAAGATGCTATAGTAACCATCAGCTGAAAAATGTGCATGATAACTGAAGCAATATAACATTTAGACATGGATACAACACTTTATTTGTTATAGAAAAATCAGTGTTCCCCCTGTTCTGGGGACTTTACAGTGATAAAAAATGACCAACATAATTGCTGCACTAAACCAGCCTCGCTGACAGAGCAGGTTTTGTGTATTGCAGACATACAAGGTTCAACCTTTGACCTCAGCACACACCATTTATGTTTTTTCACAACCTCAGAGCCCGTTCACACTTGTTTGTTTTCTTGTAGTTAAAAAACATGTTTACTGCATTAAAAAGCAGTTTACGTGGAAATTCAATTGGTTTTCTACATGGTTAGTTCACATCTATGCGTTCCTACTTGGGACAGTTTTTAAAATATGCCATGTAGCATTTTGTTCGCAAACATTGGAGAGACAGTGTCACTTTGTCTAATTAGGACAGTGTCTGCGAGAACCCCCTTATTGACCCAGTGATACTTACCTCTGCAGCGATTGCCTGCTGTGCCTTCCTCTGTTGCAGAAGCCACCAAAATACCTATGTCGGAAGTGTTGGGTGACATCACTCCATGTATAATGTGGCAGTATTCTGGCCTAGACTGACATCTAGACCCCAGTGCCTACATGAAAGGAGGTCACATGCTGTCCTATACCAGGAATCATCAAATGAGTATTAATGGAAATGAATGTTAAATGAAACACGTGTCATGACATTTTTTTTTTTCTCTAACACAACTGCACCATGGTAAAATTCTATACCCATTCCCAGTGTTCCTCCCTTACTTTGAATAATGCATCAACAAAATACACATGTTTAAAAGGCACAAAAGCGCACTTAAATGCATGTATAAAATGTACAAAGACATGCATATATCTATGCAGTGTAAAAAAATGCATACATTACTGCATATGTCTAAGTGTGAAAGGGCCCTTACTCTACAGAGGTCAGCTATGCATAGAACAGACTCCCACTGGTCAAATGGGCAACAACAAACAAAATAAAACCAAGTCAACAAGCTGTTATACGTGGGTCCATATTAATTCAAACAGAATATGACCCACATAATAGTACTCAATATAGTAGTGCCCTTCATAGCTTCGTGTATATTCTCAATAGGTCATAGCTGTCACAGATGTTCGTCCTTCTTTCATGTGGTTATACAAAGACTAAACAAAAAATCATTCATTGTTCATGTAGCTCAAGAAAGAAACTCCAGTTAATATACAACTCGTTTTTTAACAAAAAACATGAACAATGCCATCCACACATGAGTGTTACTTTTTAACACATTCTCTATGGAATGTAAGCCAAAGGAATGTATTCAATGTTAAAACTGAATAATGAAAAAAATTTCCACAGGCTCCAAGACTGTATTGTAAATCACATACATCAGGGTTTAAAGGCTGTCTGCTCAAAATGTATATTTAGATAGCTATCTGGAATTGAAGGCTAAATTCACCTTTTTTGTCAAAAATATAAATGCACATTTTTTACTCTGCAGCCTGTGAAGCACTGCACCTACAATCAGCAGATCGCAGGTGCAATGTCAGGCTCCTGCAGATCGCAGGTGCAATGTCAGGCTCCTGCAGATCGCAGATGCAATGTCAGGCTCCTGCAGATCCCAGGTGCAATGTCAGGCTCCTGCAGACTCTACACTGTCTGCACGTACCTCCTATATGGGCAGACAGTTGCTGAAGTCTAGGAAGAATCTATGAACTACAAGAGCACTCACCAGTGGAGGGTAGTCAGGTGTATATGGACATAGAGCTCATAGAGCAGAGCGGACTCTGTCCATGGCCACTCTACAGAAATTCTGTTACATTCAGCAGGGAAAATGTAAGCTGATCCCCTGCTGATTGGAACCAAAACCACCCCATGTCAAAGGGGCCTTACTGTACATATCTTTTCAGTATCATTTTATTCACACTAATAAAAGTAAATGGCACTGCAGCCAAGAAACAATGTACTGCCAATCTTACAGCCATGAGCCTGACAAGTATGGAAATCAAACTTCACGGTATCTATACCCTTTGTTAATGGAGGCATTTACTGACAAACTGTGTCAGAATAAATTAGGAAATTTAAATCTGCTTTATTAGAAAATGCTAAAGGAATACTGGTGGTCAAGAAAGTAATTCTATGCTCCATGCTCTTTTTATAGTCCATTATGAAAATGCTGCATCTTCCAACTGCAATTTTATCAGCACTGACTGCACTCTTAGACAATTTAACACATGAATGCAGGGTCTTAGTGGAACTTTCAGAAAATGAAGTTCTTTAGGATAGCCCCTTTTGTAGAGGCCAATCTGCTGACAGCCTAAAGATATACTGCTGCTCAGAGGCTCTAAATTTCAGCAAAACGGCAGGAAACAGGAGCAATGCTGAAGGCAATTTACAGCACACACTACTTTTGGTAGCATAATTATTAATGTGAAATGTACAGTATGTGCCTTGCTAAAGAACATTATTTTTTATCAAGTTGTTATGGGTAACGTTCCACTTTAAGACACTACATTAATGTGAGCGTCACTTTATAGCACCTTTACAGAAGCCTCTGGCTAAGGTAATAGAGTCAGACTCCCAGACACAAATGCGATGTCACCTGATCGTTCAAAGCCCTGCCCTGTACCTGCTAAGCCTCACTACTTGTTATTTATATGTGGTGCCTGTTGCAAAATGCTGCACTATCACTTCAAACATGCAGGAGAAATTATGAACAGTTCATACATGACTCACATATATCATATCTAATCATCAATGCCTGCAAAGTGAATGAATGATCTTGTAATAGAGAACAGACAAAGGGCAATCCTAATGAATCAGCACTTTGTTTCACAGGTATGCAAGCTTTCTTGTGTTATTGAGCATATAGGATTATACAGCGATATGGAAGCACTCTTTTTTTTAAACCATTGGAGAATCTAAAAACTCCTGATCTTATGTTACCTCTTTATATAACATTGCTTTGTTTTTAGTGACAGGCAGTTAGTATAATAAAAAGACATCAATACTATTAAAAATACTCTTTTTCCTATAGAAGCAACTTTCAGTGCAGCTAGGTTTCTTCATTCTATTGCTTTAAGGATGCACACATAATATACATACAAATAATATATCTGGCAATATATGCATGGATGAATGTTTGTCACTTTATACTGAAAAAGTATTAAGAGCTGATTCAGTTCTAATGAAAAATCAAGTAGGGTCTAACTATATGCAGATCCTCCACCCAGAACAGAAGGACACTAGGTCAAACAGGTTCCCTCTAATGAGATGAAGGAAGAAGAATACAAAAGGAAAGTGCATATCTAAACATAATAATCTAATACCATCCCTCTCATCCCCTAATAAATAAATTAAATATAGCGTGCATAGTTACTCCCTGCTTTAGTGCAACCAGTTCCACTTTTGCCCACTTCAGTAAAGACCACCTTGATTCACTGCCATGCATTATATATCAAAGCAAGGCAGCTAGTGGTCACTTACTTTATGTCTTAGCATCTCTTACTATTCCAATGTGTATCTGGTCTCTTTAGACACTTTATTATGCCCTACCCACCCTTGTGCCCCAAATCTCCATGCAACCCATGGTTACTCCATACAATAAACATAATACAAGTTTTATAGTAATAAATAAATAGGGGGTAGGAAGTGGGCTGATTGACTGGCAGTGCTTTCAAGTCCATCTAATGCCCAAAAGGATTCTGGGACAGGCCGCTGTGCAGTGGCGAGGCACAGCCACTAGATGAATTGGATGGTTCCCAGGCTGTAGACAGCTTCAGAACTGTGATGCTGTGCTGGGGTCACACTGCAGTAACCGCACAATAGATGGGTCACTTTTGGCACCTTTAATGAATTCCTCCAGCGATAATTTACCTAGAATGATAAGAAATACAGATAGAGGTAAGCAGAAGTGGTATTTTAACTAAAACTTGGAGACAGACCACAGAAAATCTACAAAATGGCAATCATAAATACAAACAACATAGCTCATTAAGTCATGGAGAAAAGAATAAATTACTCAAACATGTTCCCATCTTACCATCATTATTTGTGTCCATCTGTCGGAAGATTTTCTCTGTGCGTTTCTCTGGCGTGGACTCGTCCTCTGGCATCTTCATTACAGAGGAAACCATTTTATAAATTGCCTGAAAAAAATACATGGGAACTCAGTCAAAAATCAGCAATCACATGCCCTCCTTACCAGAAAGAATACATCCCTGCAGAAATGGAAATGTACACATTAACTAAAAGCCCTGTCATTTCTGAATTCAGAGATTGACTATACTTTGTTACCCATGATGTTTAAGATGCTCATTTTAAGGCTGGCAAACTGCTAAATACACAAATGAAATACTGTACATATATAGTTTTGCGTGATTCGTATTTCTGTTCATCTAGTTTTGAGATTTACACAGCTCTGCCACACAGAACAGCCAGGTGGATGGCACCCCTTTATTTGCTATAGTTACAGTCCATAGAGGGGATACTGTAATGCCCTTTCTGCACCCCCAGCCTGCTGACTGGATAGGGAAGCAGCAGTAGGAGAGAGATTAAAGTGGTAGTAAAGGCTCAAGGTTTTTCAACTTCATGCATTCTATGCATGAAGGTAAAAAACCTTCTGTGTGCAGCATCACCCCCAACCCCCCGCCCCATACTCACATAAGCCCCCTCTCGATCCAGCAATGTGCACTGGAGTCTCAGCTATACCGGAACTCCCTCTTCTCATTGGCTGAGACAGAAGTGGGAGCCACTGGCTCCCACTGCTGTCAATCACAACCAGTGAGCCAATGAGAAGAGAGAAGGGGTTGGGCCTGAGCCACAGATCTGTTTGTGACTGGACACATGAAGTAGAGGGTTCCCCCAAAGCAAGCTGCTTGCTGTGGGGGCACCCAACAGGAGGGAGGAGTCAGAAGAGTCTGCGGGGACCCGAAAAGAGGAGGATCTGGGCTGCTCTGTGCAAAACTACAGCAGGTAAGTATAAACATGTTTTTTTTTTCTTTTAAAAAAATAAGCCTTTAGAATCACTTTAAGTCATCTCTCCCCCTAACAGCATGTCCCTTGTTGGCACATGTAGCACATCTTTTTGGATTGCAAGAGGCTTATTCGAACTAAAATTCAGGAACTTACACTTGCAATTTAAACAATACTTTAGTGAATTATTAATTTAAAGCAAAACTTCAGGCACAGGGTTTTTTTCAATTTACAGTTTTTATATAAATGTTATCCCAGCTGAAGTGTATGGCCAGATCACTTCTCTGTTTTTTAAAATCACTACTTTTCTTTATGCTGAATATTAGTGCTCCAACTATATTTCCCATTGCAGATGTGGGAGCTGCAGCTCTCAAACACAGAAGCACTGGTGTCATTTATCCACCCCATCTCCTCTTTGCCATTCACAAAACACCAAGTATTCTGTGAATGGTTCACAGGATACAAAACGTTCTGTAAATGGCCAAGGGAAGGGTGGGTGGATTAATGACACCAGCGTTTCGATCTCAAAGTTTTCGAAAATGCAATTGTTCTGCCTAAATAAAAAAGAACATATTACTTAAACAGTTGCACCATTTTCATTTTATATTTATAGAGACAGAGGTCTGCATTCTACTTAACAGACCTGGAATAAATGGAGAACAGTTACAACATGGTAGTTATTTAATAGGGCTGGAATGTCATAAGAGCATTCTTGCCAGAGAGCTATGGCGCACATACAGTATGCTAAAAACAACAACTAAAAAAATAAAAATCACTTTTTTTAACCGCTTTCCCGCCGCCCTTTAGCAGGGCTGCACAAAATCACGTATATATACATAATTTTGCATTTCCAGGTAGGGGGCTTATGCGCCGCCCTACCACGGCGCAGCTATGACTGTCAATCGCCGGGTCCTGGTATTGCATGTACAAAGGGATGGTGGGAAAGCCAGATTCTACATGATGTGATGTACAGGAGAAATAAACATAGGCTGTCAACTTCTACTGGTGCATCCAGCCAAAGTTCAAGCTGTAAGTAGCTTTGTTGGCACAACCCAGCTCAACGAATTTCGAATGAAAAGCCAAAGAAATCAGCAGAAAAATATCAGCCGATAAGTGACTACTGCCTATAAGATGCAGTCACTGTTCGAGTATTCAGACAGCTGCAGGTACTGCAGCTGAGTGACTACAATAGCTGTCAGGGAATATTTCTCCATCCAAGGTGTTTAGCATGTAAGGACGTCCTCAGTCCTAAAGATAATGAGGATTCAAGGCCCAAAGAGCAGGCTGCAGATGGAAAGCCAAAAAACTGCAAAGCTGAATTAGGACATAGGGTAGTCACTTCCCTGGCTAGGCCGTGTGGTGGTGGTTTAGGAATTAGGGCTCATGTACATTGCAGCTGATAAACTCACGTTCAGGAGCTGTTCTGTGTTTTTTTCAGCAGACCCTGAAATCTCCCTCTTGTTTTCCTATGTGTCCATGTACACTATGTCGTTTAGAGTCATTTACAGGCCGTTGAGTTTACAGTCGTTTTTTTGAACGCAGAAAACTTGCATTCAGTAGAAAACGCTTGTAAATGTTGCTAACCGTGTTTGTAAGCGTTTGAAAATTTTTTTTAAATCTTCCATTTCCAGATGCTGTCCAGAGCCTTTTTTCATCTTGAAAAATGCATGCAAAGTGTTTTCCCGGTACTCAATGAACCTGGTACACCATATTTTGAGGTTTTGCATGAAAGAAAATGTTAGATACTGCTGCAATCATTTCTGCAAAGAAATGAGCTGGAACACATCCAAACACCACAAAAAAAAGACAGCTAATCTCAACACATACTGCTCTCTCTGCTTCTGCTCTCTCTATTTCTCTCAAAATGTCTGAAATAGTAATTTTTTTTGTGCCCAGTGCATTCTGGGCATTTTGGAAGGTCTCCTGAGGTTATCTTTAAAAAACGCAAACGCTCATAAACGCGGTATGCAAACGCGACTAAACAGATGTTTTTTAACTTACGTTTTCCAGCAGTCAGTTTCCATCGTTCAAAAGTGTCCCGTGTACGTGGGGCCTTACAAGGCTGGCTAGGCAGAATTTCATTGGCAGAGAAGACTGTTTACAGCTGTGTATTTAATTTGCCTGGAATTCTGCTTTAAAGCAGAACTAAATGCAAAAAATAAGAAATTGCGAACAGGCAGGCACTTTTTTTTGCAGAAGAGACATGCAAATAAATCAAACCTGCCTGGCTGTTTGCAATCTTATGCAAAATGTACATGAGTTGCGCATGCACAGGTCCATCTACATTTCCAGCACAGTGCCAGTGCACCAGAATGAATGACTCCTGAGCATAGAATGACATCAAGCCCCACTGGCGAATTAAGACAGCCAAAGACCAGCACCTATAAGAGGCCAGTGCTGGTGAGGAGCATAGGCGAGTATTTCTGGTCTTGCTTTCCACGTTAAGCTTGTTGTAGATTCCGCTTCATAAACTTGCATGATTTCTGATCTTCTGTATACAATTTTATCTTGTCAGCATTTCTGCCTGTTATACATTTATAGGCTGTAAACATAAAATAGTACTATTGGGTAAGTTACAATGTATGTATAGCCAAAAGTTTCTTTTATTGGGTAGTGAAGGGTTAACACCCCTGCTAGATTTTTTTTATTTTTTATTTTGATGTTGTTTTGGTCTGTCTGTGTACCTTTGTGAAAATTTCGCTTCACTTCCTGTCTTGGAGACACAATACAGTAGTGTTAGTTAATGGAAACTCTCAAAGTGAGGGGAATTTCCCTCTTAAACAGTAGTCGTCGTCAGACCATGTGTGCCATTAAAAGATCGTTCTGGGGACAATTCTTTAGTTTTGAACTGAATTCTCCTTAATTCCTTTCTCTGTGACAATGATTAGCAGTACAGATAGAGTTGTGAATCCCCCCCAATGGGGACAGAGACAGCGATAAGAACTAGACAGATGGTCTAACTCTTTTCCAATCTATCCACAACTTAAAAAAAAAAAAAAAAAAAAAAGGTTTTGCCTAGAGATACAGTCAGGATAAAATTAAAAGAAAAAGTCACAGCATTCGCAAGCAATGCACATGATGTTGTATTTCTAAATCAATCAAGTTCCACACAGTTTTAAAACCCATACTTGTATAAATGTTTCTAAATTCCTATTTACCTGTACAATCTCCAGCATTTCCTCCCGACTGATGTATCCATTCCCATCTAGATCGTACATACTGAATGCCCACTTTAGTTTCTGCTCCAACTTCCCCCTGGAGGTGACGCTCAAAGCAATGATAAACTCCCGAAAATCTATGGTCCCATCGCCATTGGTATCAAATGTACGAAAAACATGCTCAGCAAACTTAGAGGCATCGCCATATGGGAAAAAATTGGCATAGATCTTCTTAAACTCTTCAACATTGAGAATGCCAGATGGGCAGTCCTTTAGAAAACCTTTATACCACTCTTGTAACTCATGATCTGAGAATTCTGTATTTTCACGCAGGTCTTGTAGCATCTCTGGGCGGAGCTTGCTGTTTTGCTTACCCATCTCCTGCACAGGGCAAAAAATAGATATGGTTATAGAAATTTCAGAAAGGTATAACAATAGATATATTGTGAAGCAGGTTTCTTATGAGAATGTTCTAATGGTTGATGCATTACTTACCTGCAGTTTCCCCATATATTTATCTATCTAACTCTCGAAGATGGCCACTAACCTTATCAAATCATTTTCCTCCTAATACTCTGCTACAATCAGGGAAATCTGGACTAACTTTAGCCAGCTGCTTAGGCAGCCCATAGATTTTTTTTTTTTTTTTTTTTTAACCGTTCAACCATAGGGTTGAACAAAAAACGACTTAATTCTCCCATCCCCACAAATAATGTGGAGGGGGAGATCCTCCCACTGTGCCTTTGTATTCTGACAGTGGGTAGGCTTCCCCATTATCAGAATGCACTGATCAGCCCTGATCAGTGGTCGAACTCAGATGTTATTACATGTGTGAGGGTGATAATGGCCTATCCACAACCTGGAGATGATTGCAGGAAGCCTGCATGAGTGAGGTAAGTATTAAAACATATTCCTCTGCCCCTACACTTAGGTGTCCTTTTATCATGCAGCGGAGAATGTCCGCCGCTTAGTTCTCCGGCATTCTCAGAGGAGAGAGTTCTCCTCTGCCTTTTTATGAAGCGGCGTAGATCACTTCTCCGAATGAAGAGAGAAGTGATCTACAAACGCTGTGAACGCTGGAAAACGGCTGCTTTTACTATAATCTCGCGAGATTACAGTAAGAGATTAGTCAAAGACCGTTTACTAAGCAGCTGTAAATTATCGCTGCTTCGTTAGCTCTGGACTGGAGAATCTGGAGGGAGAACACAGATCACCAGTGAAGGGCTGACATCGCTCCTTCATACACTGGCAGTCTGTGTGCTGAGATGATCAGCGGAGAACATGTTCTCCACTGACCATCTCCGTTTCCTAAACCACTAATGATCTGAGATCAGCAACGATCCTTAGGATCGCTGCTGATCTCTGTTTCATAAAAGGACACCTTAATGAGCATTTAACCCTTACAATTTTGGGGAGAAGTGGGGTAGGTGTAGATCACTGCAAGGTTTCTTTTTATCCTAGTGTTCAGCATTAAAGCTGAAGTTTAATGAGCATATATTTTGGGTTCTCTGGTTCCTCCTTTCAACCCTTATCTCAATACAATTTTTAAATAAAACCCCATACCTTACAAACCATATTTTAGAGTCACTGAGTCTCAGTACTTTTCTATGCAATGCCAGCAGATTATGGCTGGAGGAAGGGGCTGGTAGGGTACTGTACACAGTTTCCTGAAAACATCACAGCACTCTCAGTCTCAGTGCTCCTCTCTAAAGCCCTCAAAGCTCTGATGAAAGCATTTAGCTGTCTCTTGGTAGGAGTTATGCAACTATCGAATTCCTTAATGTGTGGATGTCAGACTGGAAGAGTGAATGTTCCTTGGCAGGGTGTACCTACATGCAATGTAATGCCACATGTGATGCTGAGCCTCCATGTTTGAAAGAACTGAAATCCAATGAATAAAAATAGATAGGCCAGGGACAGTCAAACTGGGAAAGAATAATAAGCACAGCATCCAACTGTCAGTCATTTGGAGCCTCTGTCTGTCCTTAGAGCAAAGCCTGTACCTCTTTGCTCCTCCATTGACCAGTATTTGGGTGGATATTTACAGGACCATAAGACCCAACAGATATTATTTAACTACTGAAAAGTGTTATTTTGCACTAAACAGTTCATATAGCCTCTAAATTAAAGAAAAAGAGTGCTGAAGAAAGCAATCACTGCTTTTGCTTGATAAATAATTGATTTAACCAATCATTGCTTTTCTTATTAATTCTCCATGGTCTATGTAACTAGTGGCATGGTGTGGAGGGGGGGTCATTTGCCTAAATACTTTGATCTAAAAAAGTGTTACTATTCCACTTCCTTCAAAGGTTGGAAGGTATGAATGAGGAGGGCTCTATCTGACTTGCTGCAGCTTCTAATGCACACTGTGAACTGAAGATCTCAGTATGCACTGAAATCCGAGTTAATTACAGTACAGGAGGGGAACCTGCACCACTCTGCAAGACTGAAGGGGAGGAACCTGCACTACTCTGGAAGACTGAAGGGAAGACTGGAGTTCAGCTTTATTAAACATGCACTGTTTGTAAAAGTCTTTATCACAGCGCAAGACATTTTCATAGCTGTATAAAGAGGATGTATAGTGGCTTTGAATATTTGTACATATGTTTTTGTTTTTATTTGATACAGTCTGGGATAAATTAAAAAAAAAAAAATGTAAAAGCATGCTTTCTGGTCTTTTTTTGTTGTTGTGTAAATACAAAATACTATATTCCATATGAACATTCTGAAGTCTTCTATCCACCCAGCAGGTGGCACTCTTGGTTCCATTCATTGTTCTCCCTCCCTGCTACATGTTGAGAAAAGCCTGCTGTGAATAGATCTAGATGAAATTTACACAAAGGGCTGGATGACTCAGAACAATCTTTCATCCCTTAATAGACAGCTCAGTACGAGGTTTCAATGACATACAGCTGTGGACAGAAGGGAAAGGATGCTCAAATGAATTGCAGTCAAAAGAAATGGAAGATAATAGAGGACAGCCTACACGGTGTAACTGGACTGCTACGCTGGCAGCAGATTATATGCAGTATTCTCAGTTTGCCTCTTCCACTTTCCTTTCAGAACACATACACAAACGCCAGTTAAGAAATATTTTTCTGGTTTTGCCCAGGCTTCTACACATCAGGCTACTAATTCATGATTTTGTCAGATAAAATCACACTCCAAAGACATGCTGGTAGGTTAGTTGGCTCCTGTCCAAATTTGGTCCTAGTATGTGTATGAACCAGGGACCAGGGCTGCTGTTAGAAATCACGGGGCCCCATACAGCCAACCTGACAGCCCCCCCCCGAAAAAAAAACTAGTTTACTATGCTTCGGTTATGAATGAACACAGTGAATGAGTGTTACTGATCACTCATTGTGTTCATTCAGGAAAGGAAGAGGCTGGTAAATGTGAAATTGTTACTGGACCCTTCACCCATCCTGAAGAATTCTATTGTGTTCTTGCAGCTGCTGGTGGGAAGGAAAGGAGGGAAGCCTGCAGCACTGCGGGGGTGGGGGCTCACAGGGTGGCCTGGTAGGAAACAGTGCACAGGTAGGATGATGGGTGTAACGGGGGGAGGGGAAATTACTGGAATACCTGTACGATTCTCTCTGCAGCAGATTAAAGCCAGTGGGAGGGAAAGGAGAAGAAGCCAGCTGAGAGAGCCAAACATGGGATCGGTCCCAGTAAATTTTCCCCCTGTCCTATCAATCACCCTCCTTGCCAACATCATATTCACCCAGCTGCCTGGGCCCCATACTGGGGGACTGGTGGTACCCCCTTATCCACGACCCTAACAGGGACTGATGTGAATGTACAATACATATGTAAAGGGGCTGCGTAAATTGTTGGTGCTATAGAAATAACTGCTTAAATTAATAAGATAGATATATAAGATATGCAAATGTACCAAACTGTGTTTTATTCATGATTGCTGTAAATGGTTTTTACATTGATTTTCTTAAAAAAGAAATCAAATCTTAAAAAAAAAAAAACAATCGGATTCAGATAATGTATGTGCACCTTTTTTTTTTTTCATCATATACTGCTTGTATATTAAATGTACTGATGTAAATGTAAAAATAATTTATGGCATGAAATAAAATAAAACATTTTTGTTTCAAATGCTTAACTGGACTGTAATTCTCCTAAACTAAATTGGAAAATCATTTTGAAAATGAGAAATGTAACCCCTAACTATAGAAATGCAACAGCTAGCATTTCCGACTTGGTTTCGAAGGAGCAAACTCTCTAGCTGTCGTTCTCTTCCTTCCTTCACTACTAATGGGTTAATAAATCACTAACAACCCCCCCCTTGCAAAAAAAAAAAAGTGCATATCAGGTGCCTTGGTTGCATGCCTTTATCAAGTTAATGGCTCATTTAGTAAAAATAGATAAACGTGGCCATACATTATTAGATGGCATTGACGGATAAATCTCCCCTCCTGGGGCAGGAGGTCTGGAAAATGTTACCCCCTTGATAACCACAACATTGTTTGCTATATGGCACTGCGCTAATTCAACTGCTAATTGTGCTTTCATGCAACACTGTACCCAAACAAATTTTATATGATTTGTTTTCAGACAAATAGAACTTTCTTTTGGTAATATTTGATGACAATTTATACGATATAAATTTTGAAAAAAAAAATTTTTACTTTCCGCTATAAAGTCTATCCAATAAAAAAAAAATAACATCACAAATGTCTTCATAAATTTTGGGCAAAATGTATTCTGCTACATGTTGTCTAGATTGTAAGCTCTAAGGAGCAGGGCCCTCGGTTTCCTCTCGTACCAAATTGTATTGTAACTGTAATGTCTACCTTCATTTTGTAAAGTGCTTCGCAAACTGTTGGCTCTATTTAAATCCTGTATAATAATAATGTCTTTGATAAAACAAAATCCTAATAAGTGTATATTTGGTTTGTGAGAAAGTTATACCTTCTACAAACTATGGTATATACTGAAATATGTATTTATTTTTTTATATACTACTGGTGGCTTCTGTGTGCCCTAAACCCAGAAGCAGAACGTGACATACCATTACATCGCTTTGCCTGCACGGGCCACCTTTCCACAATACATTGTGGGTGGGTGGTCTGCAAGTGGTTAAAGGCCGCCTGCTCTGACTTTCAGAATACCTGAACAGTGCCTGCAGCTGATTGGCATGGCCACCCAGTCGATTTCTGAAATTCCAACAGTATATGCTCAGTGTAAGGCTCCATGTACACTGCAGCTGATAAACTGACGTTCAGGAGCTTTTCTGCGTTTTTTCAGCAGCCCCTGAACTCTCCCTAATGTTTTCCTATGTGTCCATGAACACATCGTCGTTTACATTCGTTTACAGGCAGTTGAGTTTACAGTCGTTTTTTTTTACCGCACCAAACTTGCGT